GCTCTGCTCACCACGGGTATCGAAACCCGGTTTCTAGCGTTGTAAGTCCGCAGACGTGCCGCTATACCACGGGGGGGAGGGGGGTCGTTCAGAGAGAGAGAGAGAAAACTGTTTAAAACCAGACTCTTTTTGTTTGAAACATCAGTATTTCTGTTTTTGATAGTTCTTCATAATAATTTCTTTTTAAAATGAAGTTGTCGTTCTTTCATCGACTTCAATGAGCATTAAACAAATCTATACACGATACAGCTCCAGATCTAGTATTTTTTTCTTTTCTGGCCAAACGTCAAAGACTGTTATGTATATGAATTAAATCAGTTGTAAGATTGCTCAGACGTGCTGATTGAAGCAGACATGAAGTGTAACAAAAATTGACATCGTATGCAACTTTGCTATCTAAGTTTAACTTACCTTATGAGTTCAACGTTACAAATGTAACTACGACAAATTCAAACGCCTTATACAAATACATTACTGTAGATGAATAAGACGAGACTAGATTTGGACTGGAAACCAAGTACACACTATAACATAACGAACTTTAAGATTAAACGTGATTTCAAGAACGAACTAGCGATCTTGGTGTTTAATTCAAATTATTATAAAAAGTTATGGTAGACCTATTATCTTTGAAAATAAAATAAAACATTAAATAATCATATTTGATTAGATGAAAGGAAATGTTTAAGTTCAACCAAATTTCTTTGCCAGAATGTTAGTAATAATATCAAAATGGAAGATAAAAGTTTAGAAGGAATATAAAACTAGTTTGGATGAAACTGAAGTTATTGTATAGTCAAGGATTATTAATACGAATTTATCGACTAAATTCAACTAAAAAATAAAAGGAATTTAATTAATGACAAAAAGATACCCATGTTTATCCCTATCCAATAATTTAAGCTATACATTAGGATATATACATAATCATTCATTTTCAAAAGCAAACGGAATTTAACTAATGACAAAAGGATACCCAAGTTTATCCCCATCTAATAATTTAAACCAGTGTTTCCCAACCGCCGGGGCGCGAAATTTTGTACGAATATTTCAACAAAACTAAACAAAGTTAATTTTTCAGTAACTTTCACGATTTTTATCTGCCTCTGACAATTAATCTTAACCCTTTTTCCACGAGCGGGGCTAAGTGCGCATGTCACGAAGTTTTAGTGAGTTACATTCGACATTTAATTAAACTACTTAAATTTCATGGTACACGAATGAATTTGACATCGAAACATAGATAATAAATCAAATTTTAATATTTATATAAGTTTTAAGTTCTTAATTTTATAAGGAAGTATAAAACAACCTCAATCTCCCCTAGTGTGAGAATTGTGACATTTGTTCTCTTCTTCTCAAATTTATTTACCACCCCTCCGAGAAGTACGAAATTTAACTTAAATTACTCTCTATAATGTCGTCATTGATCAGGCGAAGCAAACTTTCTATATCCTTCAATCTTATTTGTCTAACTCTAAAGAGCAATCGAATAGGAAATCAGACCCCCCTCCTATCACGCCCACCTGTCACATCCTCTTTTTTAAAATATTAAAATACTTACAGCTAATGTTACCAGGGCGCTGTGAAATATTCAAAAAATCTACCGGGCTCAGTATATTTTGGTTTGGGTAACATTGATTTAAGCCATGCATTGGGATCTATAATCATTCATTTTAAAAAAACGGAATTTAAATAATGACCAAAATTACCCAGAGCTCATATAATAATCGAACATAAAAAGTCTTTCAAACAAATGAATGATTTTATTACATTGTATATTTTTATCATAAATAATTTAAAAGTTTGATTCTGTAACATGGGATAATGCAGCTCAATAATTAATTAACAGTTTTTTTTTGTTTTTTACATACAATATGCTAATTCTTGCCAACTTTTTGTTAGACTTTATTTTAAAATGACTTATTTTTGATGACTGTTACTACGTTCATTATTGGTAAGAGAGGAACTACAGACTATAAAAGGTTATTAAGAAAAATAAATGTAATAAAGCGATAGAATAACAAGCTTTAGTGAGGTAGAGAAGAAAGAAAAATTACTAAAGATAATTAAGGATAAAGATGTAGCAAAAAGACTATAGAACAAAAGAGATTAGCATAAGGTAACGGCATATCATTAAAGAAATATTTTCGGACATCATCCATAATTTAGAACGAAAAAATATATTTCGAAATTAACGTTAAAGTTAATGAAAGTTATTGTTTTTTTCCAGATGCACAGTTTTTGTTATTCACATGAAAACTGAACTAGATTGATTTTATTAATAAAATAAGGACATTTAAAAAGGGAAACGAGAACGAAGTGTTAGCGAGATGAGTATACATTGGCTTAGAACATGTACATCTGATTCACTAGGATCAATATTACTGATACTATGCCACGTGTATGCCATACAGAAGCAGCGTCTACTAAGACAGAGACCATGCGAGAAAGTGGAACAACTGTTTTAAGATTAAAACCCATCTTTAAGATTATGTAGCATGTTCAAACCATGCTAGTGACAACTTTAAAATAGCCACCCCAATCTGGGCATCACCTTATACTGATACATTTCACCGGCGACCTCCCCGATAAGTCCAAGAAACTTGGGGCACTATCCACTAGATGATACCACTGGGCTACAGGTTCTCGGGGTGTGTCCAACATTTCCAACCAGTGATCTCTGCCCAAACCTATACACTGGCTCCCAATCGCACAACAACCAAGCATCTCATTTGCCCCAACCCTACAGAAAAAAAAAGTGACTAAGATAATTGCAACATTTACACAAAATCTTATTCTGTCGCTCAGCTAATTAACAGCAATTATTTAACTTTCAACCGAAAAAAAAATCGTTCACGTATATAATGATTTAGTTTGCGACACTTAAAAACTCGAACCTGATGATCAAGTTTTATGTCCTAGACAATTAATCATAATGGTTGAAAATTAATAAATAATTTATTTGAACACATCATAAACCTGCATTTACTTTTATAGTCTTCAGTTGCGCAGTTCGAAGCAATTGATTAACGTCACGAAAACTTTATTTCATCATTCACTCATCTGGGCATTTGTTAAGGGCATTTCCACGCTTAAAATCACCGCTGAAGTGGTTGCCTCTCTCAAAATTTCTTGAGGGTTGAATAAAAAGAAGATTTTTGTTTGTTTGTAAGGGCAAGTACACAATAGGCACTGTGCGCATTTTTTAACCACCTGGAGTAAAAAATAACAAACTAAGCAACAATAAAAGTAACAAAAACCAACTATTCTGAGACTGTTGGCATTTCTTAATAAAAAACAACTACAACAACTAAAATCCCAATTATAACCAACAAAACGTAATTATGATATCTAGGTAATTAAACCAAGTTAGATTTTGTAGCTACACACTGGTATGATATTGAGAACTGACGCTGATGACATTTTTAGACTACATGGAGCTAGCTTCGAGAGATCAAATATCATAAATAACATATAAATGCTATCCTATAACTTACCTGTCATAATCGATAACCTTGATCACTAGATTAACATCTTCAATATTTTCTGCTGGAACATCAAACACTAATGCTTCATTATAAATCGGATTTAGGGTTGACTTTTTCACGGTGGTTTTCTTCTTCTTGATCCTCTTTCCTTGACAAATCAAAGAAACTTTAACGTAGGGATCTGAAAGATAAAACACAGGATTAAAGGTAAACTTGAATATCAGATAAAAAACAGGATTAAAGGTAAACTTGAGCATCAGATAAAACACAGGATTAAAGGTAAACTTGAATGTCAGATAAAAAACAGGATTAAAGGTAAACTTGAGCATCAGATAAAACACAGGATTAAAGGTAAACTTGAGTATCAGATAAAACACAGGATTAAAGGTAAACTTGAACATCAGATAAAACACAGGATTAAAGGTAAACTTGAGCATCTTTTCCGAACGACAGCAACAATAATAGGAAGAGGGGATTCAAAGTTTGTTTAGTTTGAGATTATATTAAACACTTTCTTGAGGAATCAAGGGCAATAGGAATTTGTACCGAGATTTGACCAAAGATTTGCATAGAAAAATATATTGGGTATTTATATTTTTCTTCAAAAATAATGATTTTGTTTACTTATTAGAATTCTGATAAATATTGACAAAAACAAAAACAACAACAATAAAAAATATTAAGCACTTAGCTTTTATTTATCACAGTTAAAAATATAGTTAAATACATACTTAAATTTATAAAAATGTACAAAAGTACCTGCGAAGAATTAATTTGTTTACAGACAATTCTTAATTTTTAATTTATCTGTCATGTTATTATTTTTTACTTATTTGTTTGAAATTATATACATATCATGTATAACGTTTTTTTTGCAATATACAGATAAAGTGTTATCTACTTTGAAATTTAATAATATCTGAAAAATCACAAGTGACTCAGCACGGGTCGATTGTTAATACTATAACACTAATATGAGAATATGTTAATAACACTAATATGTTAATACTATATGAGAACAAATAGCGACAACGTTTTATTAAATGTTTATTATATTGAAATTATTTTAGTAAAATTATTTATATCGATAGATTAACAAGTTATTTCCCGAGAAAACTATGGCGTGGGAAAGGTTGTTAGAACGCCTCTAACGGTTAATTGTGGTAAAACTTTTACACGAAATATTACTTAACTACAAAATGAGAAGTTTTATTACTGTTATAATGTATAAAATAGAAATACGTGTCTGGTAGAAGTAGCGAAAAAAGATTGGATAGCTATTAAAAAAAAAGATCGATATTACCAATTAAATTAATGTTTTTGTGCTACAAAAGAGATGCTTTTTTTTTAAAGGATAATCAACCAAAAGCGTGTAGTGGTCGAGTAGCTAATCTTCGGACGTGATCGAAATCCTTAGTATCGTTGTTCGTGTATATCAGCGGTTATTCTCGGCTGTTCGTGAATAGAAGTTTTTCCAAGTACACGAGTTATTAAATACCTATTCCTATGAGTATTTTTAATAAATTATTCAAAGAAATCTGTCCAGTTGAGGAAGCATGAAATGTTTTGTATCGTATCACGTATTGTGATATATTCTAAGCCTTATAAGGGTCGTACATTAAGTTCATCACATTGTTTATTGACGTTGTTTCTGAGAAGTACAGGCAAAAAAATGTCTTACTCCTAAGAAAACGCTGAGTAATCTCAAAATTTAAACTTGTTCGTTCCCTGTTTGCTTTCCTCAAATTATTAGTAAATTTTGATGTATCATTCCTTATATTCCTTCATGTCACGCTACAATATCTGAAAACTTTCTGTTCCGTGGCTGGTTTAGTGGTTAGTGTGCACCGAATTTGAATCCCAGGATTCATGGCTCAAAATTCGTTGCCGATAGAATGTGTTTGTTTGTAGTCAAGCACAAAGCTACACATAGGGCTATCTGTGCTCTGCCCATCACGGGTATCGGTTTCTAGCGTTGTAAGTCCGCAGACATACCGCTGTGCCGCTGGGGGGCGCCGCTAGAATGCTTTGGGGCCGTATGCTCGCTATAAAAGTAAGGGGCACACGCCCATATTTGGTCAGAACAAGAGTAAGAGTTGACGGTGGGTACTGTTGACTAGTTGCTTTCACTCTAGTATATCACTTAAAAATTAAGGATGTCTTAATTTTGTGTAGTTTCGCACAAAAAAGTCCGAAACAAACAGTTACAGTTTTAAGTTTTCGGTGTTAAAGTACAACCAATAATCTATTCTCGCAATGATAAATAATCCCAGCACAATATTGATTGCAAAAAAGGAAACTAAACAAATACACGAAATGTTAAGCATTATTCTACTTGTATATAATTTAGTAAATAAAGTTTCAAAAGAAAGAAAGATGATTATCACGATCATCAGAAATCCAATTTTAATTTGAGATTATTTAAATTATTTTGCTATGTTAGCTTCGCTAAGACAAGATTGGCCTATCTCAAAGCCGTAAAGGAAGAGAATACTGAGAGTTGAAATTATATGTTTTAGAATTTAAATCTCTTCTTGTTTATCCTGATTGTATTTATACGCTCCACGTAATTCTAAAATAATAATAATATTTAGAAATCAACAGATTATTATCTTGTATTATTTAGTTATACACCGATACGAATATTCGCAATCACTTATATTGATTCCTTATATCTCCTTCAAATTTCCAACGGTTTTATTCATATGATCACAGATCGTGAGATTAGAAGTTTCTATATAGTATCTTTAGTGGGATGTCAGAAAGTCTTATATTTCATGACCAATGATCTATATATACATACAATTTCGAATGTATATCGTTCAAAAACCCACTAGAAAAATTGCGGTCCTAATGATTATTAAATTTATACAAATTTCGAGTGTAAGTGAAATATACATTATTTAGGTATGATTTTGGAAAAAGCTCCCCAGTGGCACAGCGGTATGTCTGCGGACTTACAACGCTAGAAACCGGGTTTCGATACCCGTGGTGGGCAGAGCACAGATAGCCCATTTTGTAGCTTTGTGCTTAATTACAAACAAACAAACAAATTTTGGAAAATATCGATGCCAAAGAAAAATAAACTACTTGAAGTAATGGGTGTTAGAGTGTATTTAAAAAAAATAGATTTTTTTCCTGTGCAAAAAAATAAAATAAAAATATTGAATCATTTCAACGACTTGATCATTGGCAAAGATGCAAATATTATTCTTATCGTTAATTTCTTGTATATCGTTGGAAAAATTTTTAAAATCAAACAATTAAACTGAAAGAAAATATGCGAAATAAACTGCTTAAAACAACGTACCATTGTTAAAAAACTATTAAGTTTTTACATACAACATTGGAAGTAATTATGATAATAGTGAATATAAGATTCTCAAGTTTTATGCATTATACATTATTGGAAATAATTATGGTAATATCGATTATAGCGGATATCGAAACAAGTATTATGGGATTGCTCTCCCCTCTATTGTATGAAAAGGAACTTCGACAGCGTACTGTTTGACATTTTTAGCTTACGCTGTGATTAGCTGTCATCCAACCAATCAGAAATTGCCACACCAGTATAATGCCTATAAAAGTACAGGCAATCATACTGTGCCCAACGGTATTGTGGTTAATGCGCTTATGGCTTGCAGGTCAGAAATGCCACATACAAACGTATGCAAATAAAAATTTTGGTTGGTGAAAGAGACAGACAGACGAAATTCTGTGTTTCAGTAAGAGCTATAAGGAAACTATGTGGGGAACACATGAAATTAATACTCGTGATAATAGAAACGGTTGAGGTAGAAAGCCCAAGCTCTTTACAAATTATGTTAAGTAACTCCAGGCATGCTCCTTATTTGACTTAGTTATAACTACAGGTGTGAATGTAACTCCAGAATAACAAGGTACACATTAGTATAGGTGGTCTCATTGGATGTATAGTTCAATAAACAACACTGCTTAGGAAAAATAACCCAACCAAAAAAATCTGAAATTGATATCAGACTTTAAACAAAGGGGTAAACGAGTAAGTAGGATGGTGCTCTTTAGAGATGAACCCCAATTAAGTTTGTTCGGCAACAATTAACGATGGTTTATTCGAAGAAAGAGAGGAGAATGGTATCACGGTTAACGTACAATATCTATATCAAAGCATGCTAGGAGACTAACACAAGTTCAAGCTACGTCTCAGCCAATAGGATTGGAGATTTACATACAATTGATGGTAACATGACTGCTGATCTACGATGCATTCCTTCTAGATCTATTTAGGCAGGGATTCATCTTTCAGCAAAATACCGATCACAAGCATTTGCAAATTGTAATGAAATGACACTTGAAATAACAAAAAAAGAGGCAGATGTAACACTCGCGACTATGGCTTGCCCTGTACAAAGTTCAGATATGAATATTATTAAGATTATCTTCCTTCTGATCAATAGCCCAGATGGCTAATTCACTAAGCAATGAATAAAATATTAATAGGGGCTTTTAATCTGATCGTTTAGCCCATGTGTGCATGAGATACCTTTCAGGTTGAAAACACCAATATATACAGAGGTTGAGTACGTTATAATAACAATAGTTTGGATCCTTACCCTGTCATTAAAGGCCATGTCGCAACATCAAATAACGCTTTATCTGACGACTGTGTATTTTGATAATAGACCTGCAGCGTAGTTTTCCTTGTAAAAAAGTTCCATTGTAGTGATGTCATGTCCAAAGTCCACTACGCCTTCCTGCGTGCATTCTATCGTCCATCTAGTATTCAAGGGCAATGAATTCATAGTGCCAGTTTCAACAGTCCAATTGCATAGCAATCAACAGGCACTGCATCCACTGACTTGACCGGTATGTCTATTTATGTAATAGAATGAAAACCCATTTCCTTCTCTCGTTGCTTGAGGTATGTGACAGTTGAATAAATATGTCGTGGAAGTAACTTTTGTACACTGAGTTATGTGGCTTTTCTAGACGGAGATTCTTTTCGATTATGTTGCGTATTGGTGCCTGGTGCACGTGAACAGTTTTGCCACAGATTTTTGTGTTCATGGGTTCTCACGTGCTATAAGATGCAACACTTTACTTACCACGACACGGGGAACGACTTGTTGCATACTTCTTTTTCGTTGTTTCTGATGCCCCAAGTTGATCCACATGCCTTTGTTTTACAGTGTCATTCAGTATAAGAGATATATCTGTCTTCAAAATTCTAAATCCCCGACCTAAACACATTTTTATCATCTAAATGTATGAATAGTTTGCGTTCGAAAGAGCTCCTACACATCCTTCTAAAAAACAATCAGTTTTAGATGGCATTACACTAACTACGAAAAGTCAAACGACGTCAAACAGCAATTCTGATACACTCCATTTCACCATGAGATATTATATTATCTGTAGTTGCCACCTGACTTGGTGATGTGCATACTAGAAATAATTTTTTTGATAACGTATCCAATCCTCTGTACATGTATAGTGAAAATAGTTGATTACAGAGTTTTACAAAATAAAACCATGACAGATACCTAATCAAAAGAACATCACATGTGTAAAAAAGAAACATACTAGCTAAAAAATAGACAGAAAACCAACATAAAAAACCTTGTTTTTAAATGTCAGCCACGGCTTTATCAGAACATTTCAATGACTTGAGACAACAAAATGAAGTCAGAAACACAATCTTTCAAACATAGACTCTCTTGAGGACCGTGACGTCTTCAGAACTCTTTGTTTCTGCGCTGATACTGTCAGAAATAACATACGAATGTTGTTGAAAATCCTTGTACATTTGTTTGTATTTGAGTTGTAGTGTCATAATAAATTTTCTCTGAGAGTTGAAGGCGTGTTGCAATCAATGGATACTTTTTTTAGATGCAGTTGTAAGAAACTTTCAAGAACCGTTTAGACTATACAATCAGCAAGACATTAGCTTAAAAAGACAACAAGGTAAAATGTTCCCACTCTAAAACAGCACTGAGATTTGTTTGTTTGTTTGGATAATCAACCTAATTAGTTAAAACGCGGTACTGGTTGAAAGAAATGAACTTTAACCACTAATTGAATATATTTAAAAACACTTGAACTTGTTGAATTCACTGGATTAACGTGAAATGTCTTAAATGAAGAACTACTAAGATATTTTTACCAGATGATCCAGTGATGTCCATGGCTTTTAAGTTTCTTGCCTTCATGATCGTGACCGTCAGTCTGCCGGCAGTTGGCAAGTAGCACAGTGATAACATTAGTTCTCCTAAGTTTTCTTTATCCTTGTTAGAAAACGATAACAAAACACATATATTAGTTTTAGTTACTACAATAACGATGATTACTCCCGTAAGTTTTACATGACCTTAGTATGTAAAAAACAAAAACAAATATACACATAAATATGTTGCAGTTAGAGCAATCATTACACCAGTTCTTCTAGTTGTTATTTCTAATCATCAGGAAAGATCGAGAGCAAATTATTATATAAATCAGTTAGATTTAGGACAGTGATAACATCATCTTTTGTAGGTGTTTCGAGGCTAAAATTAAGTAAACGTGCAGGCCAGTTTTTCTTCAGTTGAGTAATTAAATTAGTAAATTACATAATAATATTTAAAGTAGATCACGTATATTTTATCTAGTTATAAATACAATAGTTATAATGGAAACTGTTCAGTATTTCCTCTGTTTTTATTAGCTTAATAATTCCTTCTGCCCAATAGTGTTATGTACTACAATTTGAATTATAACACCAGTTTCTCTCTCTAATTTCTTTATTCTTTCTAATTAAGAATATTTCGTGTAATATATTTCAACTGAGAAAGCGCCATGTGGGCTGTTTGTCGCATTTTCTCATTAAAACGTGTGATCGTAATGATATCATTTAAACTGTTGTTACGGACTCAATTAAAAATACCTTGATTAAAAGAGAAAATATAATACAATGAGAGTAAAACCTTGAAATAATTGACAGCTTTTATATATTATTAATTTCCTACTTAACAGTTTAATTGATTATCCTATACACATTTGACATCCTTACTGAAGGTTTACCCAATTAGAAATAACTTGTTAAGATTTTTATTTAATGACAAAGTCAAGGTAACGCACGAACCTATAAGCTACTCTTATTAAATCTCATAGGCTACCGAATACAATAAGTTAAACAGAGAAATCTCCTAGACAAATGAACACCGTATAATAGCTTTTTATGTCACACCAATACTAACACTTTCAAAATTTGAGAACTGTGGTAATAAGGCTATTGAAACAAATGTAAAAAAAACCAACAAAAACAGTGCGATTAAGCTGCTTAGCTTGTGAACGTACAATTTTATTTCCGAAGGGGAATTTCTGTTCAAAAGCCATATTTAAACATGTAGAAACTTTTAGGCTTAACTTGTTAGTCTGCAGAGCATGTTACACTGTGACAGTCCAACAAACTAACAATATACGTTGCTGGTAATAATCAATTATGCTACATTGATTTGATCAAGTTATCTTCAAAATTGAAGAAACTTACAACACTTTATGAAGTTTATGAAATTAATGTTCTGTAAACATATTATCTGAATCTTTCATTTAAATCACGGAATGTCTCTTTTATGTTTTTTATATAATATCAGTAAAAGAATAATTAATCATAATGAAGGAAATGAATTAATACAATAAATATATGGAGCACTAGCATATTATTTACAGGCGAGGGCAAAACGTATTATATAGTTAGTACTATATGGTTGCTACAGGTGGTATTACAATGTTGGTACGCTTGGTACAGTTGTATTACACGGTTGTTACACTTGGTACATTTGGTATTACTCGGTTGTTACACTAGGTAGAGTTAGTATCACTCGGTTGTTACACTAGGTAGAGTTAGTATCACTCGGTTGTTACACTAGGTAGAGTTAGTATTACACGGTTGTTACACTTGGTATTACTCTGTTTTTACACTTGGTATTACTCGGTTGTTACACTAGGTAGAGTTAATATCACTCGGTTGTTACACTAGGTACAGTTGGTATTATACGGTTGTTAAACTAGGTACAGTTGGTATTATACGGTTGATAAACTTAGTAAAGTTGGTATTACTCGGCTGGTACACTTGATATTACGTAGTTGATACTTAAGAAAATATTACGAAGACAATTGCAACCAATTTAAATATTTCAAAGTAATATTTAGAAATTAAACAAATGTACAGTCACTGTTGCCCCACCCTGTATGTATACAAGCAATCAGTACTGGTATTACAAAATTCAAGTTTCTTGTTTATTTACTTTTAAATAATTTAACGACAAAAATAATTCATTAGCCTACTTATGTGTCATGCCATATAACAAACAGAAATATTTAATATAAAGTAGATCAGTAATGCTTGCTTGTGTAATGCATAAACTATTAACGGTTTCATATACGACTTAAAGTTTTATATATATTAATAATTCATCATAATGCAAATAATTATAAATAATTTCTAACTTCTAACATCTACAAGTGTTTTCTTGGTGTCGTCTTTACTTTGTACAAGTAGTCGCTTGGCGTTTTGTTTATTTGTACAAGTATTCTCTTGGTGCCTTGTTTACTTTGTACAAGTGTTCTATAGGTGTTTTGTTTACTCTATACAAATATTCTCCTGGTGTCTTGCTTACTTTGTACAAATGTTCTATTGGCGTTTCGTTTACTTTGTACAAGTGTTCTCTTGGTGCCTTGTTTACTTTGTACAAGTATTCTATGGGTGTTTTGTTTACTCTATACAAATATTCTCCTGGTGTCTTGCTTACTTTGTACAAATGTTCTATTGGCGTTTTGTTTATTTGTACAAGTATTCTCTTGGTGCCTTGTTTACTTTGTACAAGTATTCTATGGGTGTTTTGTTTACTCTATACAAATATTCTCCTGGTGTCTTGCTTACTTTGTACAAATGTTCTATTGGCGTTTCGTTCACTTTGTACAAGTGTTCTCTTGTGTCTTGTTTACTTTATATAAAACGTTCTCTTGTGTCTTGTTTACTTTATATAAAATGTTCTCTTGTGTCTTGTTTACTTTATATAAAATGTTCTTTTGGTGCCTCGTTCACTTTGTACATGTGTTCTCTTGGTGGCTTGCTTATTTTATACAAGTTAATTCGTCAACAAACTAAATTCAAATGTTTATTATGTGACGAAACAATTATATGACCTTTCGAAATTTAGTTTAGATAATGAAATAAAGTATGTTTGATTAGGCTTGTAAGCTACAAGTTAAATCTCAATAAAATAGTAACCAGACGCTTTATCGGCTGATTCAATAACAATTATCACTTAATGATGAAAACTAAGTATCCATTAAGACAAAATCAGAGTTACAAGAAGACCTATTTCTTTGGAACGTATTTTCTAGTCTTGCGTTTGATGGCTTTTAGATATACCTGAGGGCATGTTTCTGAGATTGGCCTTGTTTCAAGCAACTTGAAGCACGATCTTCGCCCACGTTCATCAGAATTCAACAGGCAAGATGTGGAACGTAGGTGGCAAAAACACTCAACCGTAAGAATTCGGTTTTGTAATGCTTGAAGTAGAACTGTATTCAATCGAACCTAACTTTTGTTTCAGAGTCTGTTCTTTCTTACAGATTAATTGTTACAGCTCGAGCAAATAGCTTTAGAAATATAACGTTTCTAGTTTTTTCACTATCATGATCAGAATATTTCTCTGGTGTTTACAAAGTTGTTATATATTTCGATATTATAAATTATAGCTTCAATGATTACCTTTTACCTTATTTTATTCCATTTTGAGAGATTCAACAACACAATTTGTTTTATATAAAACCTTTAACAGTTATGTTCATGTAAATCTTATATCTACAGTTACTGTAAGTGCAACAATGAAAGTATGTTGTAAACTCAAAACTGAAAGGCAGCTAAAAGTACTCGATCTGACACGTCCATATATATATCAAAAGTACTTACCAAATTCCGTAACTTATCTAAAGTAATGTAAGATATGTAGCAATTTCAATCAACTATGTATATATCAGTGAAATATATGTAAAGAATTTAAGTAACATTTTTTTTAAAACACAGAAATATACGTAAACATTCAATCGGTGATGTCTTTAGTAATAATAAAATACGTGTAACGTCTTTAAGTAACAATTCCATGAGAGTAAGTTATCTAACAGATTCAAATAATGATGCTATGATAGTAAAAGATATGTAACAAATCCAAGTAACGATGTCGTGATCGTGTTTACATGAACCTATTACATATCTTTCACTATACGACACATTTACATGAACCTGTTACATATCTTTCACTGTCACGACACCTTTACATGAACCTATTACATATCTTTTACTATACAACACATTTACATGAACCTGTTACATATCTTTCACGATCACGACATCGTTACTTGGATTTGTTACATATCTTTGACTATACGACACATTTACATGAACCTGTTACATATCTTTCACGATCACGACATCGTTACTTGGATTTGTTACATATCTTTGACTATACGACACATTTACATGAACCTGTTACATATCTTTTGTGTGTATAGTGAAAGATATGTAATAGGTTCATGTAAATGTGTCGTATAGTGAAAGATATGTAACAGGGACTTCGACAGGAACTGTGGTAGTGGTGTACATGTTACTTATATTATCAACTTTCATGAACAACGACTGTTATGGTGTAAACTTCGTTAAGTTAGTGAATTATAATTATTATCAATTTTATTTACGCCATTTACAAATGTAATTTTTATAGTAATTATTAATAACAGAATGTTATTTATTTATTTTATTTCTAACACCAATTATATATATATTCACGATTATTATTTTATTTGATTTAAAATTCATTCAGAAGAACTGGCGAACCAGAAAGCCAGTCTTGTTGTTCCAGGAGCGGGTTGAGCAACCACAACATATACGAACTTATGAGTGAACGTAAAATAGAATATGAATTTGTGATAGCATGTCAACCACATTACACCTACGATATCCAGTGCCGACGAGGCCTTTCGCTCGATACCAGGGCTCGTTAAGCCGGCTGGGAATATGACGTACATATGAACAACGACTGTTACAATGCGAGCTAGATTAAGTGAATTGTAATTGTTATCAGTGTTACTTACGTCATTCACTAATAAGATATTTTGCGTAAGGATTATCTAAGACACAAGTTTCTCTTTGATAGTTTACCCATTATGTTTTATTATAAACATCGTGATTACAGCCGAAGATATCGCTAACAGAAAGGAAATTCTACTAATGATTGTTTGT